TTGACTTTGCCATATAGATAAAAGTTATTCTGTCATGCCCTACGAGTAGAACATAGGCAGATTCACTTTTTGGAGAAGGAAATCAGGCAGCACAGATCAACACTTTATTTTTTTTATTATTATTTTTTTAAATGTTTTATTTATTTCTAGGAGAGAGAGCGAGACAGCGTGAGCATGGGAGGGTCAGAGAGAGAGGGAGTCACAGACTGAAACAGGCTCCAGGCTCTGAGGTGGCAGTCAGCACAGAGCCCGACGCGGGGCTCGAACTCACGAACTGCGAGATCATGACCTAAGCGAAAGTCGGACGCTCAACCGACTAAGCCACCCAGGCGCCCCACAGATCAACACTTTAAATGGGTAATCCCTTGGGGCACCTGAGGGGCTCAGTCAGTTAAGCCTCCGACTTCAACTCAGGTAACGGTCTCACATTTTGTGAGTTCCAGCCCCGTGTCAGGCTCTGTGCTGACAGCTCAGAGCCTGGAGTCTGCTTTGGATTCTATGTCCCCCTCTCTCTCCGCCCCTCCGTTACTCACACTCTGTCTCTCTTTCTCTCTCAAAAATAAACATTAAAAAAATTCTAAACCTAAACGATCAATTATATCAGCCATATATAATCACATATCATGCAGTCTTTATAGTGATAACGATATGTAATAGTTGACATAGAGGATGTGCACAAGCAGAAAGGAAGTTATAAAACAGTATCTAAGGGACAAGTTCAGTTTGTTTATTTTTCCAAAGTTTCTCTATGTGCTTAGAAATAGTCTTGGGAGGACACATCACAGTGTTGGTATGTGTGGGACTCTGGGTGCATTTGTGTTCTGGACCTTCTGCAAACCGCATTTCATAATTCTGTTGTTCAAACACAAGTTTCAAACAAACGTAGAATCGATGTTTGAAAAACTGTTGCTCCTTACTGAAAAACCAGGATCAAGCTCACAACAGAAATATGCCAAATCGTCCCTGAAAGTCTTGCCCGCAACACGAGCGCAGGACTGAGACGCTGGGAAAGTGCTTCCCAGCTGCTCCAGGCACATGGGAATAAAAGGATCATTTCAGGAATCAACAACAGGCGTCCTCAACACTAGGTTGCGGGGAAAACAGAGCTTTGGAGTGAGGCAGGTGGGTGGGGACAGGCAGAGTGGCACGGCTGGCTCTGGCCTCCTCTCCAAGGGCAGGTAGAGAGGGCCCCCCAGGCCCCTGCCATCGCTCAGGGAAGCCCCGGCTGCGGCACGCCTCCTCCTCTGGCACCGCTGATGGACAACTGTCGGAAATCCTGCTTCGGAACACGCTGAGACTACGGCTACCTTTGGACTCACAAAGTACTTTTACTCCATTTGAATAGATGCACCTGAAGAGATATATAAACTAGATACCATGCCATCCAAGTGCTACGAGAGACGATCTTTTCAACTTCAGAAATCGTTAGAAGCTTTTTCTAAGTAACATCCAAGTGATTTGTAGTGCAAAGGATAATTTGAGCCTTTTCTATTTTCAGAAAGCACCCTGTATCTGAAAGAACATTCATGACGTTGGGGCCCTGAGTGACTTTAATGGCAAAGTAATTATCTGTACAAATGCGCTGAGCCTTCCAACATAATTAGGATCACTGATCTTGAGGACGGTTTCCACACGTCACACGACCGCACTGAAACGGTGAATTTTCAGCTTCAGCCTGTACAGATTTTGATTCTGTTGGGCCAGAAAGAGTTGTAACATATACAGTAGTATTTTTCTTTTTTAATACACTATAGGATCGATATAATCATGGATTTCTCTCCACATTACCACTTCACTGTTTGGATTATTTCAGAAATCAAAGAGAACAGTCAAAGCAAGGAAACAAATTTTTTAAATGTTTATTTACTTTTGAGGCGGAGGGGCAGAGAGAGAGGGAGAGAATCCAAAGGAGGCTATCTGCTGACGGCAGAGAGCCCAGTGTGGGGCTTGAACTCACGAACCATGAGATCATGACCTGAGCCAAAGTCAGATGCTTAACCGACTGAGCCATCCAGGTGTCCCTAAAGCAAGAAAATTTAAAGCAGAAGAGGTTCTTGAAAATAAGTAATGGCTGAACAGTTACTGAATGCCTACAATGTGCAGGTGTGGTGTTCCCAGCTAAAGCTTTAACCTTAACAGTTCTGCAAGGTTGGTCTCATCCCTAGTTTATGGATTAAAAAAAAAAAAAAAAAAAAGGCTGAAAGAGCTTGAATGACTTGCCCTGCTGGCCACTGTTGAAACCCACAACCTCTCATTTAGGTGGCCGTGCACATGCCGAGCCAGTCAGGGCTTCAGTCACCTGTGACCTGAAGCCCCAAACAAAAAAAAAAAAAAAAAAAGGCTGAAAGAGCTTGAATGACTTGCCCTGCTGGCCACTGTTGAAACCCACAACCTCTCATTTAGGTGGCCGTGCACATGCCGAGCCAGTCAGGGCTTCAGTCACCTGTGACCTGAAGCCCCAAACAAGAGAGGCTTCTGTCATGCGGGAGTTTTATTTTCTGGAGTGCAGAGATAGGTGTCTGGGGCTTGGAGAGTCCCTCTGAGGCGTCAAGCTCGTGTCCTTAGTTGCTCTGCGCTGGAAGGACTCATGGCCCCAGACTGGAACTCCAGCTCCAGCTGCCACCTCTTCGTTTAAGGCCGCAAGAGGAGGGAATTAAGGACATCCGAAGACTTGTAGGACAGGTCCCAGGAGATGCTCAAATCACTGGCCAGGACTTACTGACATCTAGCTGCCAGGAGGCTGGGAAGGTGATCCTTATATGCTAGGTGGCTTTGTGCCCAACTAGAGATCAGAGCCTGAGGGAAGGGGACTGACAGACTCTAAAAGCCTCTGCCACTAATGTGCTTACAAAACACGCCAGGAGTAAAAAGGAGATCTTAAACCTTTCCTCTCCCCTTTCGTGAGGGTGTATTTTCTGCTGGCAAGAAGGGAAACATAACTCTGAGTTCTCTGGCTTTTTGTAGTATTTGATGAAAATCGGGTTAACAAACCCTCACTACCCACCATCCAGAATTAACAGTTGCTAATATTTTCCTCCAGATCTAGAAAAAAGGACTCAGACGAGGTCCCTCCTGCTGCTGTACGGATTCCATTCCTCTCCCTTCTTTTCTGGAGGCGATTACTTATCAGTGTTTCCCAGTGAGGTTTCTAGACATTCTCTTTGTAAATAACATATTTTAAAAAACTTTATAAATGGCAGACATTTCATTTTCTGACAGCTTATTTTCACCCAACATTCTTTCTCAACAGCTATCCACTGATATTACAGATCAGGTTCACTCATTTTAACTGCTCAATTGTTTACCATCTTATAAATAGGCCACAGTTTACCCATTTTCTTGTTCATGGACATTTAGGTGTTTTCAACCTCTCCTAGATACACACAATTCAGCTGTGAGCATCGGTGTAGTCATAACATGCCTGTGCACACATGCATGCGTCTCTGATGTACTGTTCCTCAAGCTTCCAGGAGCATAGCAATCACCTATCTGTGGACAGAAATCACGCTGCTCTGTGGACTCTCAGAAGGGAGACTCTAGCTGTGTGCCCAGGGTCACACAGCCAAGGGTCACAGGCTATCCATATCTTCAACTTTCACGGACATCATCAAATGGAATCAATTTTACTTCAGAAGAAGTCAATTCTCATTTCTTCATCCTCACTAACATTCAATCTTGCTCTTGGGAGACTTTTTGCCTTCTGCCGGTCTGAAAGCATGAAACCATTAAGTCATACTCCCCTGGTTATCAGTAATGACGACCATCTTTTCACACTTTTTAACTATTCAAGCTTTTTCTGCTCAAAAACTGATTCATTTTTCTAATGTGGTCTAAGCACCGTCTGAGGACCCTGGGGATTCCAGACTGGACCACAAGGTCCTTCCTTTTCCAATTTCTGACCCACGTGAGGCTCCATTTTCTTCATATACTGTAAACATTGAGCAACAGACTGGTTGCAGAAGCCGATATGAGAATCCAGCTGTATTTCATGAAGCCAGACAAAGAAATTTTCAGAAATGTAAGACAATTCCTCTCATTAAACTTCAAAAGTTCTTTTTCATAATTGTAGAATTTTATAACCTGTATTTTTTAATAAAATTCCTTCTAAGACTATAAATATCGATAGAACCTGTACACACACACTCTGTTGGAGTCTCAATTTTTAAGTGTGTGAAGGGGTGTTGAGCCCAAGAAGTTTGAGAACTGCTATATTAATACATGGTTGTCATCTGTTCATTGATTTGTAGGAGCTTTTTCACGTACTCTGGATACTAATCCTGACAATTTTAAGTATTGCAAACAATTTCTCCCAGTCTGAGACTTGGTTTTTCACTTGTGCTGCCTACCATCTACAAAGAGCTTTGACTTTGATGCTCCTATTCTCCCATCGTGTACTTTTGCTAAGTAAGGATACTGCTCCTATTTTGAAACAGAAAAAGTCTCACTGGGCTTTATAGAGAACCCCAGCTCTGGCACCACTGAATAAATTATGGGGAGAATATGGGATTCCCCTAACCCTCTCCTCACAGAACCCGCATTCCATCCATCTTCCACACCTCAGCTTATTTCAATCAAGGTGATCGTTACCACTGACCTTTGAGATCAATGTAAAGTACGTGCTCATATATTTTAGACTATTCTGTTTTGCTTCAGACAAATGAAATGGAATGTCTATGGTCCACCAAAAGCAACCTTTTACCTTCAGCATAATATATGTTCTGTTTTCCTCAGAACATATGACTAGATAGGAAGGACATTCCCATAAAACTTAATGCACATTTAATTCAACTAAATTTAACTAAAAAAGATTTAATTGATTTAAATTCAACGTTCTATATAAAGCTTTTATATTTAGAAAGCATATTCATAATACTATTTTATCCGCTCTTCATAAGAATCCTATAAGATAAATGGAGACAATATATGCTAAGAACTGTCAGAGAAGACGAGAAAGAAATTCAGAGAAGTTAAATGATTGGTCAGCATTACACGCACAGGACTACAAATGAGCTCTTTTAATCACAACTGATAAAGATCTCTTCAAAATATGGCTGAGTCTTGCCAGTCTGAATAAAAGTGACAAGTAAGCCCAATCAATCCTCACATGAAGCAGAAACCAAACACCTGTATAGTGGCCATGAGGGAAAGCAAGGGACGTTTGAAGGGGATTTACAGGGCATTTCGATGACTTCATATTTTTATTGTACATGCGACCAGTATGTCCTCCTGTTCATCAATATTCCTGTTAATAATTATAGCCAATGCATATTGCTCTATTAGAGGAGGGGCCAAGTTTTCAGATCAAGCCTGGGAAGAAGAGCCCGGTGACCTGGCTGCTATTCTCCTGAAGGGACAAGAAAGGGACAAGAAATGAAGATGGGTGACAATTAGAGTTGGAGTTAGTGACCTAAGTTAGAAACAAAAAGGTAAATGATAAAAAGATATAAAAGATACTTATATCTCTAAATGAAAAAGTAAACTATTAAAAATTAAAATGCAAGTGTACATTTTCAAGTCAAGCACACAGAATGATCCACATGTTCAATACGATCCATGAGACTTTCAGGAAAATCCTTGCTGTCAGGGACTCAGGTTCTAGGGCGCATGCGTAACTCAAATTCCTTCATTTGAGGATTCAAGGACATAAGGAGAGAATGTCACTGAACAGAACGTATATATTTTAAGCTAGTGAGTTCAAAGTTACTCTCAAGGCCAATTATAAGAATTGCCCCCTTAGTCTATCCTCATCCTAAAAATTAGCTCCTCATGGGTTCATATACTTGACAACAACGATTCTCCATATTTCCTTGGAGTCCATACTCATCTTTGCTATGGAATGCATGGCATAAATATAAGCCCTATGAAAAAAAACTTTTATTAAAAAAAAGTCTTCCATTTATGATGAAAAAAACAAAATTAAAAACTTCTAAAAATAGTGAAAAAACAAATCCCAAGGCAGAATATCCTTTTTTCAAGAGTCAGTATAAAATCTGAACCATCCACCACCTTGATCCATCATGCTTTATGGCTGTCACTGTGTCAAAGGAGGAAGCAACATATACATTAATTTGCTTTCACCTCCACAACTTAAATCAGAGCAAAACACTGAAAGATCTACCTTACTGATAATTACCTATAAAATCTCAAATTAAAATCAACATAGTTACACCTTGAAGAGATATCAGTCTTGAAACTTAACAATGTATGCTCAATTTGTTTCTACCTATCATTGTCCTTGAGGAAAAAAATATAGTAATCAACAACAGGTTATTTAGAAATAATTTGAAAATCAGAACTTGAGTCATGGTTTCAAGTGGGGAAAAACTCTGTGATGATTTTAAAACAATCTGAGTCTTTGACAGATCATGAAGCATAAGAGAATACAAATACTGTCATAGGAAAATACTATGTGAAATCCACAAAACAAACAGAAAGGAGCATTTGTGTTAAAATAATTTAATTCCCCCTGTACATTTCTGTCCACATGAGCCAACAGAAATCAAGAATGCATACTTTACAATATTTACCTGTTTTGAGACATTCAAGTCAATTCAGATGGCAAAGTAGAATTCAATCACTAATGAAATGTTTAAAAATATATATATTAAACGAAAAAAGTGTTTTTACAAGATAAAAAATAATCTTCCACAATGCAATAAATTGCAGATCACTGAAATTTTAACTCTTTAGATGATTTCAGTTCAGTTTTTGGTTTTAAAATCTAGAGACAATCAAAAAGAAAAAGCGTTGGCAGAATTTCTATCTGTTTTTACGTTTCTCTTTCTTGCTTCGACTACTTGTGACACTGTTTAAAGAACAGGACGAAGGTGCTCTTGCATGACCTGTGGCTTTCAGATGGTCAAAAAGTTTATTCCGGGATGGAAATTCACTATGGCAAGTTGTACAGCTGATAAGAACATCACTCTGAAGAAAGAAAAAAATAACCCATCAATGTAAGTAAGTGTTATTACCTGAGAGCAGTGATTTATGTTTTCATGTGGAGATTAAATATAAAATAACTCAAAATAAAGAACTTTTAACAAAATGACGGCTACCAAGACAGGCTCAGAAGAGGCAGCTGTTCTTAGAAGTTAAGTCCCATCAACAAACACCATCAACTTTAAAAGCCCTGAGCCATTCAATATGGACCAGATCAAGGTTTTAGATTTCAAAGTAATGGAAAACAGAACAGTAACTGCTCTAGTACTGTCTGTTATTTCCAATGTGCTTTGTAAAGAGAAACAATGACGCATCTAGAAGTTCTACATCCACCAAGAAAAACTGTTGATGGGTCCACACCTATATGTACAGCAGGTGCAGAGGGTTCCCCAGATACTTATGTCTTTAGAATCAGAATTAAGGATTTAGATTACTTAAACAAGGTCTATCAAAAATATGTCAATATGACTTTGACCTACCACTGCCTGTTGTTCATCAGGTACTTTGACAGATTTCTTCATATCTTTGGCTTTCTTTCCTTTGGGTTTAGGAGCACTGGAAAATAAATTAAAGAATTCTGTATAACCCAATAATAATGTATCCCTTTTAATTGCTATCTTGCTCCCAAGAAGATTCAAAAGAGTGACATGCATTTTAAAGGCTGATTCATTAATTTTAATGGCCAACCTAATTTTCACATCTCAAATGAGCTGCTTTAATTTTTTTTTTTAAATGTTTTATTTATTTCTGAGAGAGAGAGAGAGACAGCATGAGCAGTGGAGGTCAGAGAGAGAGCGGGAGATACGGAGACAGAGTCTGAAACAGGCTCCAGGCTCTGAGCTACCTGTCAGCATAGAGCCTGATGCAGGGCTCGAACCCTCGAACCGTGAGATCACAACCTGAGCTGAAGTCGGACGCTTAACAGACTGAGCCACCCAGGCGCCCCCAAGTGAGCTGCTTTAGAGAACAACTTTAGAGGTCACATGTAATGTGAAATTTGAGGATGGAGTTAAGATGGTAGACTAGTAGTTAGATCCTGAGCTTGTCTTGTCCCTGAAGTCAGCTAGGTCAGCAATAAACCATTTTGAACACCTAGAAAAACCACCTGAGGATTAACGCAACAGTAACTTGAGCCACAGAATTTGGCAGGTACATAGTGCAGAGACATGAACTAGGGGAGAGAAACGCTGTGGAAGGTAGGTAGCCGTTTTTGCAGAGAATGGACAGACAGAGAAAGAGAAAGGGGGAGAGTGCGGCATAGCAGGACGCTGCAAGAAGAGCATCTCCCGAAAGTAGCTGGAGAGAAAGAGTGAAAACACTCTCTAAACAGATTTAGAGACTTAAAGACTTAAACAACTCAGTGACTTACATTAAAAAGGAATAATATCTGAATAATAGAGTCCCAGAAGATGAAGAGAGAGAAAGAAAAGGGGCAGAAGATTTATGTGAACATATTATAGCAGAAAACTTTCCTAATCTGGGGAAGGACACATACATCAAACCCAGAGAAGCACAGAGAAGTCCCATTCTATTCAACAAAACCCAACCATCACTCCAAGGCATGTCAGAGTCAAATTCACAAATTACACAGACAAGGAAAGAATTATGAAAGCAGTAAGAGAAAAAAGGTCCTTAACATGTAAGGGAAGACAGACCAGGCCTGCAGCGGATCTGTCCACAGAAACTTGGAAGGGCAGAAAGTAGTGGCATGATATACTCAATGTGCTAAATCAGAAAAACCTGCAACAAAGATTCTTTACCCAGCAAGGTTGTCATTCAAAAAACAAGGGGAAATAGTTTCCCAGACAAACAGAAACTAAAGGAGTTTGCAACCACTAAACCTGCCCTGCAAGAAATTTGAATGGGGACTCTTTGGAGAAAAGAAAAAACAAAAGAGACCAAAAGCAACAAAGACTAGAAAGGACCAGACAACATTACCAGACACACCTACTTTAGAAGCAAAACAAGGGCACTAAATTCACATCATTCAGCACTCACTCTGATTGGACTAAATGCTCCAATCAAAAGACACAGGGTATCAGAATGGATAAGAAAACAAGACCCATCTAGGAGTGGCTGAGTGGCTCAGTCAGTTAAGCATCTGACTTCAGCTCAGCTCATAATCTCACGGTTCATGGGTTCAAAGCCCTGTATTGGGCTCTGTGCTGACAGCTCAGAGCCTGGAGCCTGCTTTAGATTCTGTGTTTCCTTCTCTCTCTGCTCCTCCCCTGCTTACACGCACTTGGCACGCTCTCTCTCTCAAGAATGAATAAAAGCATTATAAAAAGAAAAAAGAAAACAAGACCCATCTATATATTATTTACAACAGACTCATTTTAGACCTAATGACACCTGAAGACCTACTTCATAAGTGTAAGCAAGAGGTTATCTGATACATGAAAAGACATTCTTATCACCAACGTTAATTAAGAAACCATCAACTTGACTTACTTTTTAGCTTCACTTTTAGGGTCATCACAGAGTTCAACAGTCTCAGTGACACTGATATTTTCTTGGGGACTACGTTCGAATTCTTTGGCACGGTCTTGGTTTAAGTTGGTATCTTCTGACTCAACCTTTACTCCTTCTCCAGTTCCATTTTCATTGAAATTATCATCGTAATTCTAGGCAGTACAACATACATGCATTACAAAATAAATAATAACCCCAGCTTATGTTGCCAAATAGTTATAATAAACAAGTATAATGTCCTATACACTCTGGAGGAGCATATCTTCAGGAAATAAAAAGGAGAAGCAGCTAACAATTTAAAACATGAGGGGTGAAGGGTGCCTGGGTGGCTCAGTCGGTTGAGAATCGGACTCTTGATTTCAGCTCAGGTCACTATCTCATGGTTTGTGGGATTGAACTGGTGGTGCTGAGCCTGCTTGGGATTCTCCCTCTCTTCCTCTCTCTCTCTGCCCCTCCCCAGCTCGTGCTTTCTCAAAATAAATAAATAAACTTTAAAAAACAAAAACAAAAAACCCCCATTAAAAACATGATGCTCATTACAGAAATAATTAGGGAAAAATTAGAAAACAATCCATATGTCCAATAAGTGAATGGCTGAATATATGAAGGGAATTATGAAGCTCTATTTTAAAAAAAGTTTTTAATGTTTTATTTATTTTTGAGACAGAGTCAGAGCATGAGAGGGGGAGGGAGAATCCAAAGCAGGCTCCAGGCTCTGAGCTGTCAGCACAGAGCCCGACACGTAGCTCGAACCCACAAACATGAGATCATGACCTGACCCTAAGTTGGAGGCTTAACCGACTGAGCCACCCAGGCGCCCTGGGAATTATGAAGCTCTTAAAAATCATGTTTGCAAAGATACTGATTCAATTTTTTAGAAAAATACAACCTATTAGTAAAAATATAAAAGAGAAAATTATATATAATATCTGGTGATAATGTAATTCAATATTAAGTAATATCTATTGGCAGAATCAGAGGTGATATTTATAGTTTTCTATAGTTTTCAAATGATCTGCAATGAGGAACTATTACTGTTTTTGAGAGAGAGAGAGAGAGAGAGAGACAAAGTACGGAAAGGACAAAAGAAGAGAGAATCCTAAGCAGGCTCCATGCCCAGCACAGAGCCCAATACAGGGCTTGATCTCATGACTGTGAGTTGGACACTTAACCAACTGAGCCACCCAGATGCCCCAACTATTAGTTTTATAGTTACAAAAGAAAAAAAGAACAAATAAGCATTCTAAAAAAGACAAAACTTGGCAAACATATCTTCACTAAGTGCAACTGTGGTTTGTTTTTTCTTTACTCTTGAGAGAGACAGAGAGAGAGAGGGCGGGAGGGAGAGGGAGAGGGGGGAGAGGGGGGCGAAGGGGGGAGAGAGAGAGAGAGAGAGAGAGGGAGAGCGAGCATGTGCCCAATCCCGGGAGAGGCAGAGAGAGAGGGAGAAAGAATACCAAGCAGGCAGGCCATGCACTGACAGTGCAGAGCCCTATGTGGGGCTCGATCTCACAAACAGTGAGATCATGACCTGAGCTGAAATCAAGGGTCCGACACTCAACCTGATTGAGCCATCCCTGCAAAGGTGCGTTTTGCTGTTCTGGTTTGGGGCAACATTTTGCCACATTTGCTCTTCCCATCCCTTCCTCCCTAGTCTCTGCACACACACTCCCCTCACCCCCGAGCTATGAAAGTAAGTTGCAGGCAGATATGATGACACTTCACCATGTATCTTCTAAGAACAAAAACATGCTCCTACATATCCACCATACTCTCTTCATACTGAAGACCTCAGCACTGATGTTCTCTGCTACATAAGCCATATTCAAAATCCAATAACATTCTTTCCTTGTAAGCCCCAACAGGAGCTATAACCAAGGACCACATGGTGCACTTAGTCGTCATGTCCTTTTAATCTCTTTTATTCTAGAACCAGAGCCCTACTTTTTTTTTTTTTTTTTTTTTTTTGGTCCTTCATGATACTGATAATTAAATGGCTGTTTTGTCCCACAGTTTGGCTTTGTCTGCTTGTTTCCTCATGATTAGACTCAGGGCACACATTTCTAGTAATAATATAACTACCAAAATGTCTACTAAGTAGAGTTCAAGATTTTTTTTTTCTGCATTTTTTTTTTTGTCTTTAGAATGTGCCCCATGGCGGCTGCTCAGGACTGTGTTCAGAAGTTGCTCGGGTTCCTCCTTTCTGTCAGCCAGGGTCATTTGATTACATTCCATCTCAGCTTTCCCCTGTTGGCTCATGCTGTTGTCTTGTTCTGACCATACAGAAAACATTTCCAGGCTGCTGCTTCCTGATTCTCTGTACCTGCTGCCTCCCGCTCTTCAGTCTACCAGTTCATGTCTCTGTGCTACCCTCCCTTCAAAAAGAACTGAGAAAACACCAGGAAAAATACTTGATAAAACTAGGTCTGAACTGGGGCTTTCTTCCTGATAGAATGAGAAATCACCAACACGAGGTATTATTATAAAGAAATATAGCTTTGGAGGGGAAAAATGGGGTTGTAAACAAAGCATTTTCATTGGTAAGAAAATAGGATACGTGTGTCTATTACTGCAATCTATAGGCCTTACCCTTCATGATTCAAGACAAGGCAGACTTGGGTTAGGTACAAATCCCTCTTCTTTTGTCCTTATTCTAGTAGTCTGGCACACACAAAGGACAGAGGAAGTGTGCTAATCTAATGACTATAGTCTTTGGGTGGAAGGTGGTATGAGTCATTTTACAAAGGAACATACAACTTGCTATGTGGTTTTATAATTGAAACAAGTTCCAAGTCACAAATTTTAACAGTGATTAATTCATGTGTCATATATCATTTCTGGAATACGAAACAAAAATTTTCAAACATATAACCATTTAAATAGATAAGCCAAATCTAAAATTTTATGAAAATTTATTAATCTGTTAACTAAATTTTCTTAAAAATACTTTCAGTTTTGGTGGCGCATGGGTGGCTCCAATGGTTAGGCATTTGACTCTTGATTTGGGCTCAGGTCATGATCTCATGGTTATTAAGTTTGAGCCCCACATCAGGCTCTGCACTGGCAGCACAGAGCCTGCTTGGGATCCTCTCTCTTCCCCTCTCTGACCCTCCCCTGCTCGTACTCATGCACGCTCTGTCTCTCAAAATAAACATTTTAAAAATACATATTAGAATATATATTCACAGTTTTCAAAAAGAACTACATTTAATACTTAATATAAACATAATTAGATTATATTAAAATAGAACAGGAATCAATTCTATTCCCTTTAGAACCAAGTATCCTTATTAAAACGCACAAACCCCTTTCATACATCCATAGGATTATTATGCATATATAACATACAAACCTTTTATTTTAAAATACTTTTAAAATGTTTGAGAGCGAACGGTGGGGGAGGGGCAGAGAGAGAGAGAGAGAGAGAGAGAGAAAGAGAACACATGTGCACGCAAGAATCTCAAGCAGGCTCCGCTTTGTCAGTTCTGAGCCCAATGAAGGGCTCAATCTCATGACCATGAGACCATGACCAAAGCCAAAATCAAGAGTCCGATGCTTAACCAACTGAGCCACCCAGGTGCCCCAATTTAAAATAAGAGAGATAGAATTTAGATGTCAGGTGTGAACTATTTGAACTACTTACATTTCTGAGTAATATCAAGAAACATTTTTTCAAGAATCACAATCAATACACATTTCTAACCAAATGTTCCTTTTGCAAAATTTCACTTATGTTGTTGGAAAAAGAAACTTAGATGTAATACAATAACCAAACTTCAGATTTTCACATATTTCCTATTTTACTGTCCTCATTTAAAAACCCTGTCATCACATGTCCAGATATTTTTTTAATATGATCACTGAGCTAATTAGTATTAGGGAATTAATTCCACTTATAAAATTAAAATTTTTTTTAACGTTTTATTTTTATTTTTGAGACAAAGAGAAACAGCGTGTGATCAAGGGGAGGGGCAGAGTAGGAGACACAGGATCCAAAGCAGGATCTAGGCTCTGAGCTGTCCGCACAGAGCCCAACGGGGGACTCGAACCAATGCACTGTAAGATCATGGCCTGAGCCGAATTTAGGTAATTAAGTAAATTAGCTACACGCATATTAATAGAGAAAGAGTGATGACAAAAAGAAAATATTTTCAATTCACTTCAATCCATTTTATAACCAACATAAAATCATAGTGAAAATCCCTCTCCTTAAAGCAGACTATACTGGGGGCGCCTGGGTGGCTCAGTCAGTTGAGCGTCCGACTTCAGCTCAGGTCATGATCTCACAGTTTGCAGGTTCGAGCCTCACGTCGGGCTCTGTGCTGACAGCCAGCTCAGAGCCTGGAGCCTGTTTCAGATTCTGTGTCTCCCTCTCTCTCTGACCCTCCCCTGCTCAAGCTGTCTCTCTCTCACTCTCTCTCAGAAATAAATAAAACATTTTTAAAAAATCTAAAAAAAAAAAAAAAAGCAGACTACACTGAATAAATAAAAGCACTCCAACTTTAAATTTGATATTTAATGTTAATAAAACTTTTTCAACATACCTGTGCTGGTTTCTGTTTCTTTCTCTTCTGTTTTTTAGAAAGTCTATGAACAAATAGAAATCAAAATGTCAAATACTTAACCTTGTGACTACTTGCTAAATGAAAAAAAAAATACTGCAATACTGATACAGATAGAAGTAAAATATTAAAAGTATTTAATACCATAAAGTACTAAAAAGAAAATATTCACATTATCGTTTTACAAAGTTATAACACTGACGGTAATTAGCATGTCAATTACCTAGGTATAAAACTGCTTTTAACAGTCATAAAATATTCTGTAAAAATTACTCTTGATATCATGCTTTACCCATTTCAATTCTGTAATTTCCCTTAAGTAGGAAAAAACGTGGAAAATGTTAGCATAACAGAATAACTTCTTTCAGATAATAGAGCATTTAAGTGCAATCTCATCTCTAATAGGCTAAGTGTGTTTAGTAACATTTTTGGAAGTACTTTTGTTTTGGTGCATCTTCTAGATCCTCTTCAGAATTGGCATTCAATGGATTTTCATCAGTTTGAGGTCCTGAGAAATTTTCTTCCTCCTCCTCCAACTGTTGCTTTAACAAGGCAACCATTTCCCGATGCTTCTTTGATTTCTCATGGTTCCTCATGCTGAAAGAACAATCTGGTGTAAGTACCTGCAACAGAAGTCACTTGTGCCCAAATACGTGGCCGAATACGTGCAACCACGTTAAAATTCATTTTTCCAAGGAAGCGAACGGTTGGTGACACCACAGAGAGAGCCCGAAGAACTGTGTCAGGGCCTGCTAGGCAGCAGTCGTTTTTCCCTGGACCCCAGTATTTCCTCTCCTGCTGTCCTTACAGCTATAGATTTTCTTCCAAGCTTTTCTGGGGGGTCAAATTCTCTATTATTTTCCTTTTCCAGTTCTTTTTTTTTTTTTTATTTTTTTTTTTTTATGTTTTATTTATTTCTAGGAGAGAGAGAGAGAGAGACAGCGTGAGCAGGGGAGGGTCAGAGAGAGAGGGAGTCACAGACTGAAATAGGCTCCAGGCTCTGAGCTGGCAGTCAGCACAGAGCCCGACGCGGGGCTCGAACCCACGAACCGCGAGATCATGACCTAAGCGAAAGTCGGATGCTTAACCGACTAAGCCACCCAGGCGCCCCCCCTTTTCCAGTTCTTAAGATGCAAGTCTTCTCCACCGTTTCCTCCCAATCAGCGAGTGTCTGCCAAGCGCTTCCGTGTTCCAGAGTATGCTGTGGGCTTGGAGGGGCCCTGGGAAATATAGGACATTCCAAGTGGAAAAGGAAGACCCCCGGGTTATGATGCGAAGGCTTCAAGCACAAGAGTAGTTTCCCTCCTCCGGCTGTTCCCAGTAACCGTCTCTCACCTCTTCCAGAGGTCTCTCCCGTCTCACTGCTACCATGCTAAGTGTGAGCTCACACACTTCTGTACTCCTCTGCCTAGAACTCCAGGAGCCGCGTCTCTTTCCGTGCATCTAAGGGCCACTAAGTAACCCCTCATAAAATCGAGCTGACAACACTGACGTACCGAGTTATTAGATGAACAAGAAAGCGGGAAACTACGTCACTATCAACTTCATCTCATCTGTTCAGGGTTTTGGTTTTCCAGTTTGAGTTGCTACTCTCCCTTTCCGCTAAAATTCTCCTTTAGACCATGCTTCCTTGGAGAAACTGGATCATCCTGTACCAGAAGGTTAAGTGCCCAAAAAACACCTGGGACGTTCTCCAAGGAGCCACCTTAAAGGAGCTCTCATTGACCGTATCTGGAAAAGTCAGCACGAAAAGTACAGTAATAAATCATAAAACACTGAAAACAATTCACATATTCATACCGATATTACACAGAGGAAAGGCAGGGCTCTCATTTATAGCAGAGGGCCGAAAGAGCACCAGCAAAGCTCCCTTTTGGGACCACTGTGGTGACAACTGGGACAAGCTGAAATCATCACTGAACACCAAACCTAGAAAACTGGGATGAGGAGCAATATATTTGCCTAACTTTGTTAATTTCTGACAGAGAGAGAGAGTGTGCGAGTGGAGCAGGGGCAGGAACGGGGGACAGACAACCCCAAGCAGGCTCTTCAGTGTCAGCGCAGAGACTGACGCAGGCCCGAACACACGAACCATGACTTTAGCCAAAGTCGGACGCTTAACCAACTGAGCCACCCAGGCGCCCGGATACTTGCCTCACTTTCAAGTATCTCAGATTAAACAGGCTATAGGTAAAATCTACGGCAAGGGAAAAAAAAAAATACTGACTCTACAGAGGAAAAATCAGACAACACCTTGACCGGGTCATCAAAGTTATTACCAGCAAGGAAGGTGAGACAAGGCATCGTACGCCTCCAGAAAGGAAACCCTGAGAGCAGCACAACGTGTTTATGTGGTATTCCAGCTGGAGATACACAACTTGAATCTAATCATGAGGAGAAGTACAAACTCAAAATGATAAATACTCTAACAAAAACATATTTTGAAGGGCCAGCATACTGGACCAACAATGGCACAGACAAGAGAACTGGCCCAGATTAAATAAGACTCAATAAATAAGTGCAACACATGATCCTAAACTGGATTCTGCGTCGAAGCAGAAAAGAACCTGTGCAGGATATTAACACAGGATCTACTGGTGAGAGTGGAGTATGGGCCAGTAAAGGAGAGGGAAGCACCATATCAATGTCATAAGCTTCCAGAAGTCGACAGCTATACTGTGATCACGTAACAGAATATCCTTATTCTTAAGGAATATGTACTGAAGTACTGAGAGGTAAAAGAGCATTATGTATGTAACCTACTCTCAGATTATTCAGGAAAAAACTGTATGCGGAGTGGGGGAGTGAGGGAGGGAGGAGGGAGAGAGAAGGGAGGGAAGGAGGGAAGAAAGGAAGCGTAAACCAAATGGGGCAAAATGTTAACAGGTGAATTGGGTGCTCTATATTCTATTCTTGCAACTTGCCTGTAAGTTTGACACGATTTCCAAGTACAAGATAAATTTTTAGGTGGCTCAGTTGGTTAAGTGTCCGATTCTTGATTTTGGCTCAGGTCATGATTTCACAGTTTGTGAGTTCGAGCCCCACGTTGGGCTCTGTGATGACAGCACTGAGCCTGTTTGGAATTCTCTCTCTCTCTCGGCCCCTTTTGGGAGCTCGCTCTCACTCTCAGAACAAACTTTAAAAACTATTTTAAAAAATCTGTTTTAAAAAAAAAAAAACTTTTAAAATCTCCTCACTGTTGCTTTTGTTGTCTTGCTTATTGCTGCCTCTCCTGCCCTGGCCGCCTCTCCCGCCACCCTGCCGTCCGGGTTACACACCAACACCTCTGAGGATCCCACACCGCCACTGCCTCCTTTGGTCTCCTTTCTCCTTCACTGTATGTGTTTTGCCTCTTTGTCCCTTGCTGCCTCTACTTTCATTTTCTGCCCTATTCCCCACCCCGCCTTTATAATAGGATCCTTCCAAATATTTCTCTCTTCCTCACTGTTTCCCAAAAGCAGAGTCCTTCCGCTTCAGCAAATACAGTCAAGGCGGGACACGTTCCTAAGTTGGCAGCAATGGCCCGCACAGGAGCGTGAGGGCGGGAAGGAAGTCTGCCTGCAACAGCAGAGATTAGCTTTGGTCTAGATCGGCTTTTGGTTGTCTGTGTGACGATGCCTTCCTTGTGGCAACAGCAATGTTCCTTTCTGGAGACGCACCCATGTTTTAAAAAGCGGCTATCACAGAGGAATACTGGCATGAATGGGGATCAGTACAACATGCTTAACCGCTGGTACAGGGCCCTCTTCCTCCTGTTAGACAGAAAGCCCCCGGGAAGACATGGGAGGGCTGGTGTCCAGCTGCTACGAGGACTTTCTTTTCAGGACTCTTGGGGTTATACTTCACCGTCAGAAGAAAAGGGGAGGCCAAAGATATTAAACTTACGCCTTTTCTGTCTTGAAAGATTTGTCACACGCTGGGCAGTAAAGGTCATCGTACAGCTCAACATCCTCGACCTCATCGCTGTCTCCACCTACAAGAGGGAAGCCGGCAGTGAGAATCCCGGGTGAGTAGAACACAGATCTAAAACATCTCTTTAGTAATGATCTAACATCACACACAAGTTAGAAACTGCATTTCCAGAGACAAAACAAATAATGTTACTGGCATTTGATTACCTTTTATTTTTTATATATATTTTTAGAGAGAGAGAATCCTACAAAAGGCGGGGGGGGGGGGGGGTGGGGAAGAGAAAGAGAGAGAAAGAGAGAAGCAGGGCTCACCTGGGGCTCATGTTATTTTCGTTTACCCAAAGCCGGGCACAAGATTACCCGAAGTAGAGCTCGAGTTCACCAACCGTGAGATCATGACCTGAGCTGAAGTCAGATGCTTAATTACTGAGCCACCCAGGTGCCCAGGATTTGATTACCTTTTAAAGAGCAGCCCTGGATAATAAGGGAAGGCTTCCAAATAAACCACTTTATCTTTCAAGTTCTTCCCATAAATATACTAGAAAGACTCAAAGTCTTCTCAAAGTTCTCAGTATGAGCTAAGTTCAGAAAATCAAATGCTGCTTTCATGGTTTTACCAAAAAGGAGTTTTCTCAACAAACGTTTTTTAGTTTACCTCTTGACCAAGACTTGATGCAAACACATTTATAACTGTAATCTACTCTTAACTGCTTCAATAAACAGCTTATAACACTGCATCATTATCTGACAGGCTCGTCATAAAATAGCATATTACACGTAAACTTTAGCACGTCTTTACGCTTTAAAAAAAAAATTTTTTTTTTAATGTTTTATTTATTTCTAGGGGAGAGAGAAAGAGACGGCTTGAGCAGGGGAGGGTCAGAGAGAGAGAGGGAGACACAGAATCTGAAGCAGGCTCCAGGCTCTGAGCTGGCAGTCAGCACAGAGCCCAACGCGGGGCTTGAACCCACAAACCGTGAGATCATGACCTAAGCGAAAGTCGGACGCTTAACCGACTAAGCCACCCAGGCGCCCCTCACGTTTTTTTTTTTTTTTTTTATAAGCTTAGGGCTTTATTACAATAGTTACTATCAATACTGTCCGCAAAATCTAAGCAACTAAAATACTGAATTGAAAGTCTTTGAAAAATCCCCTCATCTACCTTTATAATGAATAAACAAGTAAATTGATGGCCACTGAGATCAATAAATGAGATCATGCAATGAGATCAACAAAGATCCCAAGGTACTCTGCCATAGTCTACATTTTGTTTCTTTACATAGAGGTGATGCTAATATGATTTTGAAGGACATTCTCACTGAAATCACAAATGATCAAAATACATCCTACCTAATGTTAACATTTGGCAAATAGTATTATTGTCCAATTACCTGTACCCTTTCAATACATTGTATAAACAAAAAAACATGTGACTAATCAAATATTTAAAAAAGACTGTTGGGTTTGTAGTCAAAATCTGGGTCAAAGAATGGCCATATGTTCTCAGGCCTATGTCCTAGCTTCTTAGAGTCTTCGTTTCTGCTTCATTAAAGCTGCAATCATTTTATGGGCAAAACATGCATTTAAGGGTGATCATGTAAGGATCAAGCACACTCTTGTATGTAAAAGCACTTCATAAACTGTAAAATTCTACCTAATGAGGCCACCTCCCACTTACAGAATGCTTTATAATTTTCAAGAGACTTTCACACACATTACTTCTAAATCATTAATAAAACATTTCATCTCCTAATCATTTTGAGTAAATAAAAGTCCATCGTTTTATCATTTGGGCCACACATGTGGAGATAAGGTGAAACTGACTAAACTGTGTGTAGATCATTCCATGTTATTTCTCGTGGAGCAGCGAGAGACCGTGCAGGTCAGGCATTCTCAACGACGCCTAATCTCGCCTCTTACGGCAGTCAGGTCCCTTGTGCTGTGATGAGAGGGGCACAGAGATGACACATTACAGTACTCCAAGGGGAGACCCTCAACAGAGTGAGGCATGAGAGGAAGAATTTATACAGATCACGTAGGCTCCTGTACAACATTAGTTCTTCTGGAAAGAGCCGTTGTTAGAAGTTGGCCTACGGAGCTTCAGTGCAGTCTCTAAGTAACCAGCAGTCACACCTGTCACTGTGGCCACTTAGCAAATCATGTACGCAGTCACAAGCAGACTGTTCCAAACACGGTCAGAAAGGGATTTACTAATCATATCACAGGGATTAGACTACAAAGGTAGTTCAGTGGACTACTGCTTCGCCTATACGATACTGTTTTTCATCTGAATTATCTGCCACCTTTAAAAACTGGAAGACATCACACAAAAATCTGGATTCCCAGCTCTGCTTAAAAAGGAAACAAACATGAAAACCCCGGCCGCAGCGGACTGGAACTCAGGTGTCTCCAGGTTTGCGTCCGCTCTCCTCTTATCCATGCATAAGAACATTTACTTTCTAAAGTGCCTTAACGAGTGAACTCACCATCGTGCCCGTCTCTGAGCTCAGGCTCCTCCATTTCATCCTCGTTTGATCCATCTCCAAACTCCTTCTCATAGCGCGCCTCCATCTCCTTGAGCTCCTTCTCCAGGTCGGCCATGGTCATCCAGCTCTGCTCCTTGTACTGCCCCGCCAGCCTAGACACACAGCACAGTGTCTCACTCAGAAGCAGGTCTGCACACAGGTCTACTTGCTCTTTGGGCTGACAATCCATCCCCGAGAGAGCTTCTTTTTTCTTTTTAATTTTTTTAACGTTTACTATTTTTGAGAGAGAGAGGCAGACAGAGAGCAAGCAGGGGAGGGGCACAGACAGAGAAGTAGACACAGAATCGGAAGCAGGCTCCAGGCTCTGAGCTGTCAGCACAGAGCCCGACGCGGGGCTCGAACTCACAGACCACGAGATCATGACCTGAGCTGAATTCGGCTGCTTAGCTGACTGAGCCACCCAGGAGCCCCATCCCTTACAGAGCTTCTTACTCCCAAACCGTCAGTGCTTCCAAACTTTTAAAACCTGGGCTTAGTTCCCAGCCAGAGCAAAGTCACTGATCTATTATGTGCTTACGTGATTTGAACCGTTTATTAGATGATGGGTTTTGAAACCTAGAACTCTTAACAAGTTATTAAAGTCTTGAGGTATTTTTAAATCCTAAGTGTTAAGTAAAGTGCAAATTTTCCAAAGATGAAAGGTGGGGTGGGTAGAATTGATAAGAAGTGAGTAATTTTTATAAGAATGCTTGGGACGCGGTGCTCTCCCACTAGCTCACAAACTGCGCAGGCACACGTGAACTCCGTATCTGGAGTGCACCGACACAGCACTGCAGTGGGTGCAAAGCCAGGCCCGATTCCCACCCGTGTGACTTCCTGGCTATGTGCTCCTGGACCTCTCTGCCTCGCTCCCGTAAAGGAACGAGGATCAAAACCAGAACCTACTTCAGAGATCTGCTGTGAGAAAAGCGCTTAGAACAGGGCCTTGCAAGGAGTAAGAATTCAAATTAACAGTCACTATCATTACATCTCAGAAGCGTCTGCAAAGGATCTGAAGAATACAGGGCCTTGAAACATGCAATTCAAAAGAAAAACATTTTCATGGTAGATGAAAACACTGTCCGGACACCAGGATTTAAAAAAACAAGATGAAGCCAGGACGACGATTCCCGCGGCCCCCCCCCCCCCCCCCCCCCCCCCCCCCCCCCCCCCCCCCCCCCCCCCCCCCCCCCCACAAAAGCACCTGTCAGGTCTGGCCCCACACCTCTGCTTGGAAAGGACCCTGCCACGCATCGGGCATCCCGTACGTACCTGGCCTGCTTTAGCTTCTGCTGCCGCCTCATCTCCTCGGCCTTCCGCGCCTTCTCGGCGTTCTGTTCCTCCACGAGCCTGCGATGCGCCTGCACTCTTTTATCCCTCTTCCGGATGAAAGCCACCAGCTGGCGCACAAGCTCGTTCTTCTCCTTCCTTGCTTTGTCGCGGATCTTTTTGTTTTCTTTTTCCATGGCCCGCTTCTCCCAGCGGTTTGAAGCTTGTCGGGTATCATATTCTTCTTTCCAAGCAAAGTTCTTCTGAGTGCAGAAACTCTGCCAGTAAGCATAGAAAGGATGCACCACCTAGAGACAAAGACGATGAGTCAAGTGCTGAGGTTTATGGTTTTATTTTTTTCCTTTGGCAACGCAGCGAAGATCAGTGACACAGAACATCTCTTTCTTCTTGGACATGACTTCACTACTAATGCACGGAGAAGACAATCCTTTTAAGGCTTACAGAATAAATCACCCTGCAGAACAAACTGAATGAAGCGATGAATGGGACGAAACCAGCCTCAATAAATAGGGGGGAGTAAGGAAGGAGGCTCTGAGGGAGCCGAAAGCCCCCCCCCCAGAAAGGGAGAGGAAGGAGTTACAGCAGAGGACTGAGAAGTAGGATCCATTCATTTTTAAGGAAAGGGGCGGGGCGGGGCAACACTGATACGCGCTCATTATGAAACGGCAATGCAATTTCTCTCACTGTATCGTAGTCACTCTGAGAGTCTCCGAAAGTTGGGAAGTCGTCCACGTCCTCTTCTAACACGGATTCTAGTTCTTCCTTGGCAATCAGTTCAAAAACGTTACGATACACCGTATAAAAGCCCTAAAAAACAGGAGCAAAAACACAAATTCTTTATACTTTTCTAGTCTGATCACAGAACAAGACTTTAAAAGGTAACACAGAAACCTTTAATGTTAGGGAATTGCAGACCCAAGCTCTGTCACCGCAGGAACATTTAGGTTTCAACTGGAGGGTTTCACAGGCTGACAGTGTAAATATGAAGGCAATGTGCTTTCAGTTTTTGAAACAAAAACGGCTTTACCTTTCTGTTATAATTTTAACAATTCTCTTTGTGGGGCAATTGGGTGGCTCAGTCAGTTAAGTGTCCGACTCTTGGTTTTGGCTCAGGTTGTGAATCATGCGGTTCATGGGTTTGAGCCCCGTGTAGGGCTCTGAGCTGATAGCGTGGATTCTGTCTCCCACTCTCCCTGGCCCTCCCCTGCTCATGCACGTTTCTCTCTCAAAATAAATACACTTTAAAAAAATAAGAGCAAATTCTCTTTGTATTTGAAAGTCTTGTGCTTCATACAAAATGAAGATTGAGTTCAATTATCTTACCTTTTCATCATCTCCATAACCAGAGTAACAGGTAACAGTGAAATAGTGAAGCAAATCTAAGCTGTCATCTTGATATTCTCCATCAAGCCCACCTTTAAGTAGAGCCTCTCTATGATTATCATACCTAAACACACAAAAACAAATGAGCATCATCAGTGTGTGCTGAGTAACAATTCAGAAGGACTCCTTATTCTGAAACAGGCCAAATATTATTATTGTACATTTTATTATGTCCAGTCCACAACCGAAAAAAATTTCTTTAAGTTATCAACATGAAAAGACTTAATTAATAATCTTCCACAAAACTGCTGTTTAAACTATGACTGTAGCTTCTGATATGCCGCAGGCATTACACAGTACTAGCCTGTCTGAACAATGGAATTTAACAAGCCAGGGAATTCCCAGGACTCTTCCAGAAAGGCAGCTGCATTTCTACAGGGAAGAAATATTACTAAAGTCTGCACTGGACACAATCTGCTCCACAGATTAATTACACATTTGTGATCAGATCTACCAACATTGACCAGAACAAGACTCTGTGTAGGGTTATAAAAACAGTCTACAGGCTTCACACACATACAGTTACTCCCTACGATAACTCTGTGACATTAGTTCCTATCCCCAAAGATACGAGACAAAATTGAGGCTCAGCGATACTCAGTAACTTGCTGTCCATCATCACAAACCCAGTAAGCAGGAAAGCTCAGGCCTCCGGCACGGGAAGCACCATGCTCCCAGCCACGGCGCAGCCGGGCCTGCAGGCCGCAGGAGGGCTAACAGGCGGGGGCTTCAGATGTATGGACAGAGGGTCCTTAGGACAAGGGAGCAGAGCACAGAGTCAAGGAAGTCAGGAAAGAAAGGAAGCGTTTCTAAGGCCAGATCTCCATATTCTTAGGGAGGAGGAACACGTAGGATTCTCTCCTTGAATTAAAAAAAAATTTTTTTTTTGCATTTATGAGAGACAGAGACAGAGCACAAGTAGGGGAGGGGCAGAGAGAGAATGAAACACAGACTCCAAAGCAGGCTCCAGGCTCTGAGCTGTCAGCACAGAGCCTGACGCAGGGCTCGAACTCACAAACCACGAGATCATGACCTGAGCCAGAGTTGGATGCTTAGCTGACTGAGCCACCCAGCTGCCTCTCTCTCTGATTTTTACATAAAAGACAATTTGTAATGATTTTTCTTTACAGCCTTTCTCCTTGACAGCCAGCCGTGTGCCGTACGCTGTTGAACTCAAACACAGATCAGATGCGCGCAACAGCACTGGACACCCCCCCGTGCTGTGTGTAACAGCGGGCTCTTACACAGTCACTGCAGGGCCTAAAACCTATTCCTTTGTAGCAAAGAGTTCAGCAAGGATCTGAAAACAACTTTAAACACAGAAGTTTTTGTTTGGAAATGGTATGCAATGATCAGGTCATCATAAGTGAAAGTATCCATCACAGATGTAGTAGTTCTTCATATAAAGTAGTTCTTGGAGAAACCTTGCAATTCTTATATTGACACATATCTGTTTTTAAGGACAAGTCAATATTCTTGTCCAACACCAGTAAGTCTGTCGTACACCAGAGACCCCATTTAATGAGAAGTTACGTCGCAACTATCAAAGTTAAATCTATTTAATATTGCCAAAGTCTGTCCCATCACCTGTAACATGAGACACTGGAGTAATCACCTCTGAGGTTCCTTCCAACCTTAATACTGCATTTTATATAATGAACAGGGGAGAGACGCCTCAGAACACACCAAAACAGTTGACATATATGTATTTTTTAAATCCTCTATTCATCATTCCTCCCAGAAAACCCACTAAGATAGGAGGGACAGGGTGACACTCACCATGCTCTTTCCTGAGGGTCACTCAACACGTCATACGCTGCTTGGATTAACTTAAATTGTTCAGCTGCTTCTGCGGCATTATCCAGATTTTTATCTGTTAAAATAAAGTCACAGATATTTAGACATCAAACAAGTAGAGGACAGTATCTAAAAGGGACCTCTTCCATCACAAATGTCATAAACAGATGAGGTGTGTACCAAGCAAAGTAACAACCAGTGAAAGGCCAAGAGACATTGTCGAGAGTTGACAATCTGAGTCTGTGAGAAGTACCTACTTGAGTGGAAACTTCATGCTTTCCCCTCAGCCTTGGTGCATCACTGAGCACTCAAACTGGATACCCACAAATGGAAAACCCTGACTAGTATACATTGTTAGAAAAAGCAAAACACATATCTAATTAGTTACAGAAGACTTATTTAGTATTAAATTATGTTTATTGTTCACACTGTTTTTCTCATCAACATGTATCAAAAATAAACCTCATAACGCTTTAAAAATGTATACTAATTATTCTTTCCTTCTCTGTGCTTCCTTAACTACAGAATTCAGAGAGTATCTTTGCCTCAGGGAGGTAGTCAGCTTCTAAGATGGCCCTCAAGGATCCCCAGCTCCAGGCATTCACACCCTGCATAATCCCCTCACAGGTCACCAAGGTTGGTGTGTGGGACCCACAGCAGGCAGCAGAAAGGATGGCGGTAATGGTAAGTTACTTCTGAGATTAGTTTAAAAGACCGCAGGGTCCATCTTGGACTCTCGCTCTGTCTTGGAGGTCTCTGGGAGTAGCCAGATGCCACGGCATGAACACACCCCGGTGGCCCATGTGGAGAATGGGGGTCTGTGTCCCACTGTCAGCAAGGCAATGAGGCTTGCCAATACCAGGAGATTGGAAGTGGGTTTTCCCAGTGAAGGTATTACCTCATGAGAAACCCTGAGCCCAAACCACCTGGCTAGGCCATTCCCACACTCTGATCCTCAGAAACTGAGTCCATAATAAACATGTTTGCTGTGTTTGTTGTTTTAACCCCTAAGTTTTTGGTAATTTGTTATACAATAATAGATAAGCAATACACTCAGAAAGTTAAATATTTTAAATCTACTATGAAGCATTTTCAAAATTTCATAAGCTACAACTCGATACTTGCCCTCTAAGAGGCCGGAGGAAAAATGTGATAGAGAGAAAAAGTCTCTACAAATAATCTTGTAGCGTTAGAATAAGATCCTCAAGAACATCCTGCCTCCTCCTTTTAGGTATCATCACACTGATGCCTGGTCCTTCAGGTGGTTTCTGCTCCACTATCACTGGCCACTGGGGGAGAGGGGGAGAGGGGGAGAGGGGGAGAGGGGGAGAAGCCCTTCTTAATTTTTTTTAAGCCATTGCAGTTAGGTTTTCTGTTATTTCCAATTAACAGAGTAAAACCTTGGATTGTGAGTAACTTGTTTGGTGAGTGTTCCACAAGATGAGCAAACATTTCTTGTAAATTTTAACTCGATAAACAAGTGATGTCTTGCAATATAAGTAGTAGGTGATGCCGAATGTCACATGATCACAACTGAGCCAATGGTTCTTGAAATTCGCTTTGACACACAAGTGCTTTGGATTCCAGGCAGGTTTCTGGAATGAACTGTGCTCGCAAACCAAGGTTTTTAAATTCCATCTTGTGGCCCTGTTGCAATCAGGTTTTAGGTAATATAGGACACTCAGTGCCTCGTTATTATTTTAAATTCTGCTTACCACTCTGCGAAAGACACTAGTAGTTGTCTAGCCCATATCTAGTGTCATCTTCCAACAAAACCCTGATTTTGTTCCCAGTGGTAATGTACCCAGTTAAAAAATTCACCTCCTCAGACTTTCTTGAGGTTGGGGATATCGGGTGACCCAGTTTTAGGCAAGGAGATATAAGCACGTGCCTACCAACTGAAACTTCCCAGGAACGGTTTTATTTTCCCTATGAAATGAATGGGCTTTGGTGGCATTCACCGAATGCCCTGAACCCAGCCCAAAGCCGGGGTATAAGGCCTACAGGTGATGAGGAGGATCGAGACAGACTGCTAGTTTATCTCCTTCCCCCAGTAACAAGGGAACCCTGATTCTGTGCTGGGCACCTGGTCCCATAATAAAGACCCCATTTCTCAGTCTCTCTGAAGCCTGGGCATAGTGGTGACTAAGCTCTGTCACTGAACACCTGTAAAAGTGTTGACAGCTTTTAAAAATCTTCCTTAAAAGGGGCACCTGGGTGGCTCATTCGGTTAAGCCTCTGACTTTGGCCTAGGTCATGATCTCACTGTTCGTGGGTTCGAGCCCTGCGTCAGGCTCTGTGCTGACAGCTAGCTCAGAGCCTGGAGCCTGCTTCGGATTCTGTGTCTCCCTCTCTCTCTGACCCTCCCCTGCTCATGCTGTCTCTCTCTCTCTCTAAAAAAAAAAAAGAAAAGAAAAGAAAAGAAAAAAAAAATCTCCTTAAAAGGCAACGGGCATGCATTCTCTGTCCCTGCTCTCTCCCTTCCTCCTCCACTCTGCTCTCTGGGGTCCCCAACCGCCACCCAGGACACATGAGGGCCCATCCGAGAGCCGCCGAGCAGAGTCCGGGACCTGGTGGAGGCGAACTGCCACATGGCCGCTTGCCGGTCTCCGCACCTCCCCATGAGAGTGATATGCCATGTTTGAGGCTTAATTGCTTATACTTGGTGCAAGCACTCAAGCCTTCTGGTCAGGACCCTGAAGCAGGGCTTTGAGGGTTTCATCGAGCGGCCGGAGCTACCAAGGCGGGCCACCTCTGGATTTGCTGCGCCGTGAGAAAAACGAAACGGGAACCGTGGCCAGCTTCCTGCCACACGAGCTCAACGCGGTCCTGGTCCGCCTTCAAGGTGAGAGTCCAGCTAAAGGCACTCATGAGTTCTACATCTTCGTCAAATCATTCATAAACTTTTTGTCAGACAAATAAAAAAAGCATAGTCCAATTTAGAGCAGAATGGCAGAAAATGCCAGCAAATAAATCTTCCCACATAAAACAGAAAAGGTGACCGGGGGAGGCAGGTGGGTGGTTCTTCCTCACCTTTTCATCAGCACTGCACTCTGGTCCTGCTTCTTCCTACTCCCTTCCTTCCTCCCCCAAAGAAGTTTGGAGAAAGCTCAAGCTTTTAAACACATGAAGCCCATCAATGTGCCAGCAGAAAATGAGATCTAACCTCTTACCGAAGCATCTTTCTTAAATATTTTTTTTTCAGTCTGTCATAAGGTTTTTCATTTCACTTAAAGATACCTGAACGGGTTGGCTATAATGTTAACCTGAGATCTAATACCAAAAATGCAATAAGTTAAAAAGCAGTAATAAAGAAACAGAAAACCCACGTTTATTACTAGCCACATGCAAAGGCCACAAGGCATCGTGAATCCAGTCGTCAAAGTTTAAAAGATATTCTCACGCTATTCTTTCTTTGTGCCTTTCTCCCGATCCCCCTTATACAGTCTTTTTCTCCCTCCTAAACATCTTTACAGTGCCTTCTGGAAAGTTTCACAGATTGAGCCTTTTATGTCCTGCCTTGACAGAGGCCAGGCTCCCTTAAAACACTACTTCCCTGTAGGCTTCCCTGGCAGGCTCCTACAGCCAGGGCCTCACAGGCCAGGGCTGGTGCTGGAGCCACAGCCTCCCCGACTCCTGGCCTCGGTCCTTTACTCACCCCCGAGGGCAAACTAGCATGCCTTCCGGATTCAGACCATTCACTGGCCATCACCCACCATCTTCCCCTTCTCTCTGTCCAAGCACCTCTCAACCCCTCCGCCTTAAGTCACTGAGAATTCTGGCACTTGGCTCTGAGTTCCATCCCCAGGTCCTGTCATCACCCTGGGTGACTTCAATGTACCCTGCCTGACCTCCTGGTCTCCCTACTCCAGGCTTGCCTGCTTCAATCTACTCTCTCCACAGTAGCCAGAGAGAAGCTCCTGCCTCTAACTCTTCACTGGCTTCCTCATGCCCTTAGGTGAAAATCCAATCTACCCAATCCAGTTTATCCCAACCTCCAGGCCCTGCTGCTGCCCACCTGGCCATGCTCACACCTCTCCCCTTCCTGCACTCTGCCACCTTTTGTCTTGCCTCCCTCTCCCTGTACTCCCTGCTTTCTGGTGTCAGATCTTGCCTTAGAAGTCCCTTCTTCTTCTTTTTTATTTTTTTTCATGTTTATTTCTGAGAGACAGACAGTGTGAGCAGGGGAGGGTCAGAGAGAGAGAGACACACACACACAGAATCCGAAGCAGGCTCCAGGCTCCGAGCTAGCTATCAGCACAGAGCCTGACGGAGGGCCCGAACTCACGAGCTGTGAGATCATGACCTGAGCCGAAGTCGGACGCCGAACCGACTGAGCCACCCAAGCGCCCCTAGAAGTCACTTCTCCAGAGATGCCCATCTATCCATCCCACCCACACACGCTTGGTCCAGGTCATGCATGTGTGCTGATAAGCATCTTATATTTACTCTCATACCGCCCTTATCTCACCAGACTGAAATTGCCTGTTTTCCTGTGACTCCCTGAAGACTATACGTGCTAGCAGAAGGCAGGGACCATTTCTGTCTCATTTACACAGTAAAGTGCTCAGGGTGGTCATCTGATAAAAGCTTTCCCTTCACTAGGCAGTACTGTGAAGTGACTACTGAGAATCATTTTCAGTTGCTCAATTAAAAAAAAAAAAAAAACCAGAAAGAAATTACCTTTAACAATGAAAAATGAGCAGCCTTTCACCTTGAGGTACAAATCAATCTTTGAAGCAAAGTCCATATGTTAACCTCAGAAACATCTAACATGGCACCTTGCACACGGAATGAAATTAAACATTTGCTGATTGACCAGCTGAACAAATGAACAAGCCAGCACAGCAAAGTATATCTTTGTATATCATGGATCTCCTGGGAGAGTATGTATCCTTTAAAGGTATTAGCATCTTCAAACCAAGAGATATTTAGGATGCTTTGACTTATGATGGCATTCAGAGAAGATACTCAAGTAACATTTAGTTTCTAACTGGTTTGGTTTCAAAATAGTTAACTGATGTTTTAGTAACATTTGCAAACTTCTTCCTTTCTTGCACTGATTTCCAATTAATCACCAAATCTGGTCATTTTTCCTTTACAGCATCTCTTCAACCCAGCCTCGTCCTTCCCTCCCACTGATCCCCAACCTGGCTTGGGCCCTTATTTGTCACGGTGGACTCTACCAGACTTCTGTCTCTCTCTTCGGCTGCCATCACAGTACCTCCTCAAGACACCTTAATAAAATCAGCTTCAACCCTCCATTGTTGGAAAAACAAATTTCACAGTACTTGGCCTAACATTCAAGACCCTTTACAATATAATCTTAAAACTACTACCCAAAAACATCTTAACACTGTCATCAAAATATATGCATTTGGTCACAAGCATTAACCCTCTTCCTCATACTTTTCCAGCCAGAAGAGTCAAGGAATTCCTAATTTCCTTCTAATTCCGAATTCAATTTCTGATGACAATCTCTATTACTCTAAGAATATGTTTCTATATTGTTTTTGGATTTATTAATTTTGGATACTGCTACAGACTTCCTGCTGCAATGAATGTTTAGCGTACTTCTTCCTTTCCAATATGCATCATGTTTAGTTCCTCAACTGGTAATCAGTACGATTTTAAGTAACAAACCTATAACTTTATTTCTTGTTCTGTCCTCTATAGACATTACCTTCTGACTCTGGATCCCAGGCCCTTCCTTCAGCTCTTCTCCCAACCCATATTTTCAGATTTCCAATAAACACTGCCTTTGGTCAAACTGTCCCTTGGGCCATCTTCTGTCCACCATGATGCTCTTCCTCTTCCTTCTACTGTTAAGTTCACTTTTCCCAATTCCATTCCTCTAGGGTCCAGCTAAAATCCAGGCTTCTCTGCTAATGGGAAGCCTCACTGCTTTTCAAGACATAGTGAAAACTCCCTCCTCTGAATCCCTGGAGCGTTTACAAGTCGTTCTATCAATCCAACGACCAATTATGTCTGTTGTGCTGTTTCGTCTGCACTTGTAGTTACCTTTTCCTGGTGTAGGGCATGTTTTCCCAGCAAAACTCTTGAGGTCTCTTAGCATTTCAGAATCTTACTGTGGTGACTTGCGTGTATTGGAGACTCTATAAACGCGCTGATTAGGGCTAATGTGTAAACTTCTTATAAACCTCAAAAGGCTGAGATTCAACTACAGCCTTTAGTTTCCCAGTCTGGAAGATCACATTACTTCACAAAGGTCACAGAGGCCTGAACTACCACCAAATAAAACATCCAAAGGAAACATACTTCTAAGTACACATACAAACTTCACTAGTGAAGACAGACACCCAATTAAAACTCTCAACCTGCAGAACATCCAGAGTACAGGGTTTGTACTTCAACAGCCTACTGGGAAAGGAAGAAAAAAAAAGGTACAGATATTTAAAAGACATTTTACTAGTTTGTCTTGATTTCAATAAGGGTCCATAAATTACACTTGGGTAGCTGGGACTCCGTGATGAAGTTAAAGGCAGCCAGCTGAGCCGCAGAGACTCAAGCAAGGGCCAAGCCCTAGAGCCCACGACTCTCCTTCGGTGGAGTCTGCGAAGGGGCAGGAGGGGCGGGTGAAGTCGCTAGAATGTTGTCCTTCCCAGCAAGTGGCACTGCGGGGAGCGTCGGGGTGGGGTGGGGGCATCTGGGAGGGGACGGGGCGCCGGGGGCTCCAGCGAAGCCTCGGGTAGCGAGAGGCGTCCCCCGAGGGGCGGAGCGGACGCCCAGCGAGAGGAGCACTGCGCGGGGGCACCTGGCCGGGGACCCGACCGGGTTCCTGGGAGGGGGAAGTTACAGGTCCGGTAGGTCGAGACTGGCCAGGGTCCCGGAGTTATTCTGGGGAGAAGGGTGGGAAGGGTGCAGGGCTTCTGCGAGGGCTGCGGCGGTTGCGGAGTAGTTACCCGGGTGCCATTTCAGGGCCAGCTTCCGATAGGCCTTCTTGAGCTCCTCCTCGCTGGCGTCGCGCCGCACCCCTAGCGCCTCGTAGTGACACTTCATCGCCCGACCGGGCAGGGGGCTGGGGCCGGGGCCCGGGGCGGGGCCGGGGCCCGGGCCCGGGCCGAAGTGGTGGCGGCGGCGCTGCTGATCCTCTTCGGCAGCGGGAGCCCGGCGCCCGCACCGGGCCAGCCAGCGAGCGCGGCGGCGGCGGCGGCGGCGGCGCGGGACAGCAGAGGCGCGCGGCGGCGAGAGGCGGCGCCGGCTGCGGCACGCGGGCGCAAGGAGGGGGCGGCGCCGGCGGCCGCGGCTCCGCATGGGCCGGGGGAGGGCTGGGTTCCGGGAAAAGCTGCGCGAGAGGGAGGCGGGGCCACGGCGGGTGGGAGGCGGAGCCGCGGCCGGATGGAGGCGGGGCCACGGCAGGTGCGAGGCGGGGCCGCGGCGGGACGTAGGCGGGGCCCACCCGGCAGGTGGGAGGCGGGGTCACGGTAGGCGTCATTGTGAGGGGCACAGAAGGCGGTCAGTGTAAGGTGCACAAACTGAGCAGCCCACCTGAAGGGTGATAGGAGTTGATGGGAGAGGATTCTGGAAAACATCTTGTTTTCTGAAGATAATTTCTCAGCGGAGCCCTGCTTTTACAGATGAGGCAACCCAGGCTCGAAGTAGCCGAGTGATTTGCTGTCAGGCCTCCCCAACTAATCAGTGGCAGGATTCAGTCGGATCAAACACCAAGTTTTTTAACTCTTCAGTTCTCTTCAGCTGCCTATTAATCCAATCTCTAACAATGCTCATCGTTAGAGATTGCAGTATGCAGAGAAATAATAGTAGATACAATGCCGTTAACTGGTACGATGTGAGAGGGCATCAAGACATTTTTAAATAATATACCAAGCATCACTCTTTAATCCTCTTTCTGGCTTCTCATCCTACATTTCCAAGATTGGTAAAGAATAGTTAAGAGATAGTATTTAACCAACTTTTGTTAATCTAACCGATAGTTATTACTGGATGGAAGACCTGTACAACTGTTCCAATTTGATAAGGCGTCCAAATAATATCCTAGTTGCCATTAAAACATATTGGTGAAATATATACACCAATATATTTCACTGTAATATGGAATGTTTACATACATCAGTTGTGAGGTGGTTTGTCAACCACGTACAGCTAAAGAGAAGGGTTGGCTCTGTTGCTAATATCTGTACAAAGTTGTCCCTTGCTTCCCTAATAGCCTACCTCCGGCACTATCAAATCAACGGCAAACCTCATTTTTTCCATAAACTGTCCAACCAACTTATACTCAAAATTCATACACCAGCCTTTTTCAAAGAAGGAAGAAACTATATGGGCTTAGTTTGTAAACTGGCAATGGATAGGGATTGAGGAGTTTCAGTACAGAGAAAAATGGAAACTTTCCCCACTGGAGAATGGGACTTGGGGCAGAGGGACAAAAAGTGACACAGGACTTTTTCCTTCCTCCAACTACATCTGGTTTTGCTTACAACCTTTAAGTCATTTGCCTTTCTCCTCCTGAGAGAAGAGGGATGTTTTTGCCCGTAACATTGTATAGAAATGTAGACAATTACACTGGATATAAATTTGTTTAAAGGATTATCTTTATTACACAAGCTGACTTCTAAATGAACATGGACTTCAAGGAGGAGGAATTCTCATTCAGATGAGGCACCTGACTGTGAAAGGTACATAATTTGGGATGAAAATAAGTAGAAACTGATAATCAAAATTGTTAAATGGAAATTCCACTAAAACTCTAAAGCATATACCTCCGTGAGTGTTAAAAGCTTGGGTCTTCACCCAAACTCACAACTTGTTGAGCCAGTTTATTTTATAACCTATAATTAATTTATTGGGATGTGTGGGTGTTTAAATACAAATCTTGAATACAGCTTTTCATCCTGGGAAATATTCAACTGCCTAAATAAACGAGCCGTGCCCCACCCCCCCCCAAAGTAAGCAGATTTAGCCTTCATTAGCCACACACAAGTATTTAAAGTGAACCTCTGGGAGTGCCTGGGTCACTCCAGTCAGTTAAGCATCAGGGTCTTGATGTAAGAGTTTGTGGGTTCTAGCCCAAAATTCCAGCTCTGTGCTTACAGCCTGGAGCCTGCTTGGGATCCCCTCTCCCACTCTCTCTCAAAATAAATAAACTTAAAAATAAAAAGATGTGAACCTCTGAACTGAATTCCCTGCTTAAATTCAGATCTCAAGATAGCCTAATTTAGACTATTTCAAAGTAAAATAGCCTAGTTGTACATTTCAAGGCCTTTCTTTGAAGACAATAAAAAAGTGACATAGTGAAAAATTGATTTTTCTGCCTAGATTTAAAATAAAGAACAAAATCAAAATGCAAGTGAGGAACTAGGACACATGTCTAGGACAGCCTTGCTGTACAACCCCTCTGACGAATTAGTAAAAGACAATTACCACACAAAAACAAGATTAGTCACAAAAGAAAAACCAATACCCAGCCAAAAAAAAAAAGGTACTTTTTTTTAACCTACCCAACTAACAAAAATTTTTCCACTGTTGCCAAGGGCAAAAGTAAATCAATGAACACTCAACTCTGGTGAAGTACAGTATTTAGGGAACCACCACAATGTCTTACTGTCCAGGACGGTCCCACAGCTCTTCCCTAAGGGGGGAAACGAATGTTCCGGTGCCCTCGAACTACTGTTCCAGTTTTCTTCTGTTCACTGTTTAAGTAATTTATACCCACCCCCACCGCTTCTAAATTAAATCTGTAATCTACAAAATACTCTCAACACACATATTAACTCATTTGATTCTCAAAACCTAAGATTTTTTTTTTTAAATGTTTTTATTTATTATTGAGAGATAGAGACAGAGCATGGGCATGGGAGGGGCAGGGAGAGGGGGAGACATGGAATCCTAAGAAGGCTCTGAGCTGTTAGCAAAGAGCCCAATGCGGGGCTCGAACTCATAAACTGTGAGATCATGACCTGAACCGAAGTAGGACGCTTAACCGACTGAGCCACCCAGGTGCCCCAAAACCTAAGAATTTTTATTGTACTCTTTCTTGAGGTGAGAAAACAAGATCAGAGATTCAAGGCTTCATTATTTGGGGACTCAGTGACTACAACTTCCATAAGATGCTTTCCTTCCTACCAGTCTACCTGCACTTTCCCATCCAAAACTAAGCTCTCAAAGTGCCTGATACGTTGTATTACAAGTAACAATTACCCAATAAATCTGTTTCAATTTCAGCTTTGCTAACCCCCATATTTTAATCCAAGAAAGCAAGCCTAAACCTTAAGTGTGCTAAACAAGCTCTGAAAAGAAACACAGAAATTAACTGATAAGTTCTGGGGATATTTAGAAAAAACATACACATCACTGAAGCCACAAATTTAATTTGGTTTTTCTTTGTCTTAAATGTCACACTAATGAGGTCTAAGGTAGTCCGGGATAATAAAAGTATTTACACATTGAATACAAAATAAATACAAAATTACTGAAAAGTCAGTTATCCACTGATTCATTTTGCATTCCCACTGTTCATCTTCTGTTTCAATTTTCTTTGCCTTTTGTAAATCCTTTTCTTTCTTGCTTTCAAATCAACTTTCGGCTCTGGTTTTACCCACTGTATTTCTACCGGCTTTTCTTCAGCTGGTATAACAAACACATCTGCAGTGGGATCATGTGGCAGAACTGTCTGTGGTTCTTTCTTTTTCATTTTCTGTGCATCTTTCACCTGTTGTTTCTCTTTGTATTTTGCAGCTGTGATGGATCTTATGACACGCCGATGCTAAAAACAAAAAAAACTCCATAAGACACTTTCAAACTAAAAATAAACATTATATATGGTGAGGACATTCACTTATGAATCGGATTTTCCCTGCACTCATGTCATTAAAAAATAGTAGTAATCTGCAAGGCTGTAAGCAGCAAAAACCAAATAAAGTTTCACAGTAACAGAAATCACTTGACAAAATTATTTTGGCCAGAGTTCTCTGGGGCACTGAGGACCCAAGTAAACAACAAAAATAGCTTACCATGTTTGGTGACTGGTAGTGAGGATTTTCATATAAAGTTGGTCCTCCAAAACTTCCCTGGAAAATCTTTATCAGATTTAAAACGAAACGAGGTCCTATTTCTACAAGAGCAGCATCTTCTTCTATGATCTTTAATAAAAAGGAAACATTTCATTTTGGTTTGGATCTACTCTTTCTAAAAGTTACCCTGGCTATAATCTCATTAAGAATATGCCTAAAAGAAGTGAGAGCCAATTAAATTAGAGTAGAAGTGCAAACTTGGCCAAATTATCGGTATTCTCTGAAATATATTACTAGTTACAGGTAATTGTCATGGGAAAATATTAACATTTTTTTCAGTGTGTTCTTTTAAAACTGAGTAATTACAATTTGGTCTTTATTTGGCTTCTCACAATTCACGTATTCTTGAAAAACTGTGGTTAAATAAATTTTTAAAACACAGCCACTGTAATAAAACGTATTAAAGCACCCGATGGGGAACCCTTTTAAAATTTAAGCCATGGGGCGCCTGGGTGGCGCAGTCGGTTAAGCATTCGACTTTGGCTCAGGTCATGATCTCACAGTTTGTGGGTTCAAGCCCCGCATTGGGCTCTGTGCTGACAGCTAGCTCAGAACCTGGAACCTGTTCTGTATCTCCCTCTCTCTCTGACCCTCCCCTGTTCATGCTGCCTCTCTCTCTCTCTCTCTCAGAAATAAATAAAACATAAAAAAATAAAAAGATTTAAAATTTAAGCCAGCCCCTAAGTTGTATTTATATATCTAATTCAAATTATATTAAAAGGTATATAAAAAGATAAAAGGATACATGTCCAAATTTATTTTTGAATGGTTGCTGATTGTTGAATTAAGAGGCAACTTCTGAGCTACAAATACTAACACTGTTGGTTCAGGTTTGTCTGTTCTCAGAGGTTAAGGGGTATGTTTAACGCACACTGCAAGGTATCTAATAGAACAACAATGCAGAAAACAGCCTAGGTTACTTTAATTTTATTTTTCTTGAGGGGCACCTGGGTGGCTCAGTCAGTTAAGTGTCAAGTGTCAGCTCAGGATCTCATGGCTCATGAGTTCAAGCCCTCTGTTGAGCAATTCTGCTGACAGCTCAGAGCCTGGAGCCTGCTTGGGATTCTGTGTCTCTGACTCTCCCCTCCTTGTGCTCTGTCTCTCTCAAAAATAAACATAAAAAAATTAAATTAATAAAAAATTTTTTTGAGAAAGAG